CAGGAATCAAAGTCAAACCTGTGACTGAGCAACTTAGCCTTGATAGTGATATGAAGGTCGTGGCAACATCGTTCTAACGTACGTGTATATTCATCTACTTCGTCAGTTGTCGGCAAGTGCTCGGATTGTACATTTCTTTTCCTGTTGACTGTGCCTGAACAGCGCCAGATATATACATTTAATTCACTCTCTCACTGGCCATATGGCCGTTTCCACGGCACAATTTCTCTAATTTGGCAGTGAAAAAATGGATGGCCACGGCCAAACTATTTGGTCGAATTTTGTAAAACATGTATTAATTCCTCATCGAATGGATTTTGAAGACAAGTCTGGCAGATTTTCAAATTTCACAATAACAACACTGGTCACTGACCTCAGCTGGTCACATGATGATTATGTGACCAGCCACCCACTCTGCTTGTAGTAGTGTAGGTGGCTGGCTGCGCGGTGACACGTGACCTACTGAGCTGACTGATCTTAGTTGTTAGTTCTCATATTTGACTTGTTCAGGCTGAACGTGTCCAGTTATACGCGTTAAGCTTCAGACCTTACAAAGCTATCTGAGTTACTTTCTGAAATTGTGAGTGCTAGTTTTCAAAATGTCCACCAGTAAATGGAAAAGGAACTACAACATAGTGGTAGAAAATATAACAATACATGGGAAGAAAAAATACGTCTGGGTTATCAGAGCAGTGATGGAAGCGAAAATGCTTATTGCAAAATTTGTAGAACACAGATAGCTCCCAAAGCATCTTGTTTGGGAGGAATTAAAAGAGGATGAAAGGGCAAGAAGTACTCCGTGCTTTTTTTTTTCCTACGGTGATTAACCCACGCGGGAACAGGTCACCGACCCACATAATAAAGAACCATAATGAAATACAAAAATGAAAAAAAAAGATGAAAAGTGAGAAACAATATATGTTTTCTGTGTTGTCAAAGTAAGAGAAACAATTGAGACTGCAATTGTGTGTAAATGAGGCAGATAGTCAGATCAGCAACCTGGGACTTGGTCACAATTTTCGTGATGCCATATGACAGCAGGGTCTACCATCAGACAACACATTATGCTTCCAATATCTTCCCAGATGGTAGCACCTCCCTGTTTGGTAGCTGCCTACTACCTACTACTGTTGACGAAGGAACAGATGTGGCCACAGACAAGCATGTTTTTGTTATTGTAAGGTATTATAGTGATTCAAGATCGAGAATTGTCACGGAATTGGGTGGCCTTGTGCCTATTTTTGGGGCTATGGGTCATGAAATGTTCTTGACACTGAGCAACACCCTAGGGAAGATGGGATTAAAGTGGTCTGACTGTATCGGGTTTGGCAGTGATGGTGCATCGTCGATGATTGGTGAACATAACTCAGTGTGGTCCAGAGTGAGAGAACAGTCACCAAACTGCCAGCGCAACAGATGTGACTGCCCTCTGCATTGAAAAGGCTTTTGACAAGATGCCATCTAATCTTGGATACCTCCTGCATGAAGTTCCCAAGTGGTTCAGCAAGAGCGTCATCCGTAAAGATGCATTTAAGGAACTATTTAGGATAATGGATGCAAAGGAAGAATGGCAGGGCACTCCTCTTCCCTTTCAGAAACTCTCATGAACACGATGGGAGGAACTGAAAGCCTACTTTGCTGTTGCAGTTCCAAGGGCAGATGCTTCCTGTCGCTACAAAGCAAGATAAATTCTGGGTATGCTGGAGGATCCAGTCAATTTGTTGTACTTTCACTTTGTGTCACCAATCATTACAAATTTCAAAGAGTTAATTTTCTTTTTCAAACAATTGATGCTGATCCTGAAGAACTAGTGAGTGAGTTGGTCCTGTACCACAAGGTTTTGCAATATAGAATCCTTGACGGGAATGGAAAACCATTGCCACTAAACATGGTCGACTATGGTGCCAAATTCATGCACGAGTTGTACACCTTCATAAATCAACAAAATCGCTCTGCTGAAGCAGTAAGCAAGGTAGATGAAGTCAAAGAGAGATGTGCTGGTCTTTTAATTGAGGCCTTAAAACAAGTGGAAGGAAGGCTTCCAGCATTTGCCAGACTGAACGTGTGCCATTCAAAGACCTTCCACTGCAGCACCTTCGAAGTGAAAAAAAAAAGATATCAATGAGCAGCATTACAGAAAAAACCTGCATTTGTTTTGGGCGGAGGAGTCAGTTTTTTTACGGGCAAAAATTCCCACAGATTCCCTTTCTTTTTGGTCTGGGGTGTTGCAATACAAGAATTCAACAGGCAAACGGCCCTTTGAAGAATTAAGCACCTATTCTATGGCTTACCTCACAACACCAACGAGCACTGTTGTCGTTGAAAGAATATTTTCCACGGTAGTCAACCTCAAAACCAAATCAAGAAATTGGCTCGGTTCTGAAATGATGACGCAATTATTAGAGTTCGCTCACACTTCCAGTTCCAAGGAAAATGTTGCAGAGATTTCAAAGTAACGCCATACATGAAGGAGCTATTCAACCGTGTAGACATGTATGAGAAGGAAGATCCAGGGAGGAAGACGGACTAGATGTTGTTTACGTCAACTAGTGTTATCAAGTTCCTCCACCATTATCATGCTTCACTACCATTTCAGATATTTTTATATTTTTTTATTTGTATTTTTTATTATTATTATTCTTTGTTTTTATTTATTTATTATTAGTATTTATTTTATTTTTTGTTGTCCAGGATTAGCCCACCCGGGCAAGGTCGCTGACCCACATCGGGGCCTGGGGAGCGAAAATGTAATAATAATAACAATAATAATAGTAACAACAACACGAATAAAAAAAAATAAATAATAATAATAATAATAATAATAATAATAATAATAATAATAATAATAATAATAATAATAAAGAACCATAAAGAAATACAAAAATGAAAAAAAAGAGCAATAGTGAGATACGATAAATGTATGTAAATCTTCAATGTAGATTATAAATCTTATGTTTATGTAATTATTGGGCTCTCAATTCTAAGTGAAAATTTGTATTATTGCGATATTTTAAGTGGATAATGTAGGGGATACTTTTTTTATTTTGTGTGGATTGGAAAAATAGCCAATTTGGCCGTGAGATGCCGTGAGTGTTGGCCGTGAAGCATGTAGCACGTCTGGCAAGTCTGCCCATCAATCACCCTTAAAACATCACATGACAGTTTGGTAACAGTGTAAAGATAAGAGAAAGATAAAGCAGTCTACTTTTACTTCCCTTAATCTCTCTTTTATCTGTTTACAGCTGATACCTATTCTTTGCCTGAATTTCTCGTATTGTAGTAAAATAATGACTAAAATCAGACACAACGCTTTTTTTGTCCATAGAACAGCTGAGCTCTTTGTCTTATTTATTTATTTAATTATTTAGTGTGTGTGTGTGTGTGTGTGTGTGTGTGTGTGTGTGTGTGTGTGTGTGTGTGTGTGTGATAATAATAATAATAATAATAATTAACGGTTTCTTGAAAAGTACAACAGCCAGAGGCTGACAATATACAAAGGACAAAAATTACTTACAATATTACACATACATTTCTTTAAAAGATTATCATGGAAAAGCTTTGCCTTATCCGCCATGCTAACTTTGTAGTTCATCTCATTTATAACTTCCATCACCTCATATGGTCCTCTCCATTGTAAAAGCTTTTAAGTTTTTAAGTTTAACAAATTTATTGACAAAGCTTGGAGTCCAGTTTGCCTATTCTGAGTAATTCAGTCAGGTCTTGACACTGAGGGTGGTATCACTTCTCACTGCCACGCAGGACAGAGGTTCATATACAAAGAAATACATCATATTCATTAACAGTATATACTGTATAGGTCAGATTCATGTGGGTGATGTCACTGTTCACTGCCATGCAAGACAGTGGTTCGTATACATTGGACGTCATGTTCTAATTGAAGATTAATCAATGTGGAATTAGCAAAATTGGGATAAACAGCAAGAATGTCCTAAAGCACCCCCGATTCAATGTAGTAATTACAAAGTTCCCGATACAATAAGCCGGGTGGCCTAAAGTCTTTGACAGTGTCACATTCAATAATATAGTGTTCAAGTGTATGCTTTAAAGGTTCATCACAAAATTTACATGCGGGGTGTTCCGGTATGGGTACAGCGTTACTAACTTGCCAGATGTGTCTGTATCCCAGCCTAATTCTGGCCACGACTACATCACATTGTCTGGTTCTGTCCTAATGCTGGCCATACCGGTACCTCTCGTCACAAAATTTGTCATATTTACTAATGCTACAGCTGCCAGGTCTCTCTGCATTTCTCAGTTCTTCTAGATCAGAGTTCATGATTCTGACATGAATGTTTTTATGTTCAGCATTGGACAGGCCAAGGTCACGGTCAACATTTTCTTTCTGACATGCCTCATTGGCCAGTCTATCAGCACGGTCATGATACCTAATTCCAACATGGGACGGAATCCACATAAATTCGATACTAGAGTTGTTCTCATTGGCAGTTATCACATTTCTTTTAATATCACATACAACTTTAGACATAGAACCTGACGGCTGTTCATTGATTTCAAAGCACCTTGAGAGTCACAGAATATCACCCCACCTCCATTTTCTTAAGCTAGTCTGTAGCTAAGTAGATTCCAGGTAGTTCAGTTTGTGTAGTGCTGGCCCAGTTCAGCCTGCTTGTTTGACACTATCATCTCTTTTTCTTTATATAATACAATTGAACAGCCTGTTCTACCTGTGTTTGTCTGCACAGAACCATCAGTAAAAGCGTAACATCCATTTGATTTAATACTCTCTATGTGTCTGTTAATAGTTTCTAGTGTGACACATCTCATCACATCGGTGTTTAACATTTGCTTACTCCCATCAGGAGTGTAATTAATAGCAACTGATATATCCAGCCAAGGAGAAATGGCATTAATGGGTTCGTCTGGGGTAATTGGGTCATTCAGTTTCAAGAGATCAGCAACACTTTTATGAAGCCATATCTGAAGTCTTCTATCCCTTGCATTTTTATCATAATGGTGCTTAAACTGATCATGGGACTTTAACAAGCTACCCCTTACTATCTGGCAAGTACCTTCCAATCTTTCCTTTAGACCCAATATATATTCATAAGTATCACGTTCCTCAGATTCTCCCGCGCCTGTCATTAATTCATTCAACAGGTGCATAGGTTCCCTCACTGTGCGACCATATAATAATTCGAAGGGGGAAACCCGGTACTGGCCTGCAGCATTTCTCTTTAGGCCAGTGGTTCCAAAACTTTTTTGGTTGCGACCCTAAATACAATCTTGTCCTGGCCTGGCGACCCTAAATGCATATACATGTAGTGTTAATTATCAATCATTTTGAAATTGTTGTGTTTATTCATATAGTTTTATTGAATTAATTAACTTTTTCTAATGCATAATGAATTTTAATAAGTTTTAAAATGGACGGAATGAAAAGCACAATTTTTCAAGAAAATGAGACTTTATTACACAATTCGGTAACCTAAGTGACAAAACCAGAATTTTTCAGTGGCTAACATGATGCTGCTTTATTCTTGAAATGAGCTCTTTTGAGTTTTGATTCTATGGTGATAAATTTTAATAATTATAAAAAAAATAATTTCAGTAACTTTTTCTAATCTGACAAATGAAAAGTATATGCATATGTAACCATCTATTTTACTATAATAGCAAACTATCATAGCAAGGAGAGAAAATTATTCTATAACTCTTCTTAGCAATAAAAAAAGTGCTCACTTTTGCGCTCAAAACTAAGACACCATCACGGTCGCTGGGTGTCAAACACCCAAAACTCGAAAAATAACGCTATTTGCGTCTGCTCAAAGGCTTAGATCTCATTAAATACCTACTTGAATGAAAGAAGATACTTAAAAATCGGCTATTGTAAGAACCAAATACACAGGTGTTAAAATTAAGAATAACAGAAAATTTTGCTATTGGTTTTTAACAGTTTGATAAAGGAAAAATCAAGGATATTCTCAGTGGCTACCATAATACTGCTTCATTTTGTGGGTGAGCTCCTCTAAGGTTGGTTTTATGTTGATAGACAGAGCACAACGCAAGTCATGCTGAGGATCCACGAGGTCCCTTGCTTTAGTCTTGATTGTAACGAGACCTGAAAATCCTTGCTCACAGAGATATATTGTTGAAAAAGGGAGAAGAATTTTTTCAGCCTCCGAGATAGAATCGGCTTATCCTTGAGTTGGGTTCAAAATTTCGAATACTGGAGACTTTCAGAGCGTTGCTTTTGCACTTGATTTTCCTGGAGGACTATAAGTTCTTCTTGAAATCCAGGAATATCTTTTCCGACTTCACTGACGTTCACAATGGTCACATTCCTGATCCAGCTATGCTTCTCGAGGTCGACGTTTCCTGGAAAATACCTGTCCATTTCTTCCTTGGCGCACGAGTATTGGACGTTAGCGGACTCGAACATTAATATATCCACAACTATTCTCTATTTTTTTTCGAGACTGTCCCGCGACCCTCAGGAACAACACCCTCGCGACCCTCATTTGGGTTGCAACCATGGGTTTGGGAACCACTGACAGCCGCCAAGTACCTGTCCCACTCCTTTGGTCTTTTTTGGCACGTGTTTCATCACTCCAGTGATCCTCTCGCACAATCCATTGCACTTTGGGTTGTAAGGGGTTGTGAACATCTGTAGCACCGAAGCTAATTTCATTAATTTCGATGTATATTGGGCCCCTTGAGAAACTCAGCATCACTCCTAACAGCGCTTCTGCTCCTTGGCCAATAGAAACTTGTAGTTACTCTATCAGTAGTTTTCTTCGTTCCCAGATGTCCACCCATTAAGGACTCATGAGCTAGCGAAATGACACGGGTCCTGTAACCTCTAGGGACCACAAATTCGCAGGTAGTGTAAACATCTCCCTTGCTTTGACTCTTCCCATGGTACACTCGCATCAAAAAGTATCGGTGCAGGGTGAGATCGACGAGTTCCGAAACGATACGTATACACTGTGATATGTCGGGAAGGTTGGTAAGTGTATCCTCATAACCCCCTTCTCCACTAGGTGTTGCCATATGGCTGACAATCAGAGCTACCGACATACGGCTAGAACAACTCGCCTTTCCCATTACCTATCGTCACTGGTCTCAAATTGTTCACACTGCAGTATGCACCGATACTTTTTGTTGCGAGTGTACAATACTCCTTTATCAATAAAATATTTAAATTCTACTTTACCAGTTGTAGTGGTCAAATCCTCCCGTTTTGTTAACTTCCACAACTTCTCCAAAGACGGATCATCCTTCTGTGAAGATTTCAGTTTTACAACACTCATTTTTTCCACTCTATTGTCGTGAACCACCAAATGTTAGGTAGAAACTTTAGAGTTGTACCTGCTGCTTCGTACCCCCTCCATTGGGGTTCAGGATCCTTGGTTGCACCTGGTAAGTTGCCAAAAACCAAGTCCGCTATGGGTTCCTTCATTCACAATGCCTCTGTTTCTCAGACATAATAGGGAGTATCAACCCTTATTATTGCTACCG